ATACACACACACACAAGATCCTAAACTACAGATGTAATCCGGTATCGATTTACTTTGTGTTCTTCTAAAAACCTGAACCTACCGAGAGGTGAGAATCAAGAGAGACAAGAAATGCTTGAAATGCACAACAGTATATTTTTTGTCTGACATACGTCTAAATTTTAGTGGTTAGCTAAAATTAGCTAAAAACTTGTGCGAGTTAGTGATTTTTCACTCACAAAGCATTTTCTGTATATCAATCAATTAATTAATAATAATAATAAGTCGATTAATCTTTCTAACTGCAACTTATGGCTAGAAGTTCCCTCCAGATGCTCCATATGTATGTGTTTCCCAATTGTAACTACTGTGAAAGTGGTTAAAAGTCAGCCTGTCAAACTAGCATCTATTTTATGTATACAGGTTAAATTTTCATGTGGTGAGATCCGTCCACTTACTGGGTATATACGACCCGTACAAAAATAAGTTTAAGGAAGATGCCCAGTTCTGCACAGAATGGAAAAAATCGCATTTTAAACTTTATTGTATAACTTTGTAGATTCTAAGACGGAGGAAATACTACAGTAATAAATGGCAATAAAATTGAAACGTTAATTATTATTGAATCGGGTACAAATATCGAAGATTTAATTTGTTCGTTGTAGTTATTTTTAAAGAAGCAAAAAAAAAAGAAAAATATATATATATATATATATATATATATATATATGATATAAATGGATAAAAAACTGAATGCTTTAGATAACTAACTCCTAACGTCCCTCTGTAAATATTGCTGTGAACTGAGTAAAGGACACAGGCTTTATTATATGCCCTTAGCGACGACTGCGATTTCCATTACGCCGAACTCCTATCTTCGTTCAGTTGCTTTCGTTAGTCCCGTCGCGACAGTGATTGTCTGTCGGTGAGATTTTATTCAGCACTAGCTCAAGGATGCATCCTCGTAGGTATGTTTACTTTTAATTCTTATATATATATATATATATATATATATATATACATAAAGGTAATTAAATAACGTTGCCAAATACTTGCTATCTACCGTTGTCATGATTATAATTTTATTTTTACCATTTAACCCATTAAGATCGTTGACCAAGCTGGGTGTTCATTTTGTGTATGTTAAGATACTTTGTAATAGTCATTATCAATGAATAGTAATTATAGCTTGACAAATGTGCTTAGTCGATATACTTTTAGTGTATTAATATATTATATAGCATAAATAAGGACACAGTAATCACAACCGCGTTTACCCTGTGTCTGTTAAATACAATTAAATTAGATGCAATTTGTTAATTCAACAGGTTATTTTGCTGTTGTTGGTCCCAATGCGGTCCAGACGGTGTGTCGTATAATCCTGGGTAGCGTGCCATAAATGGTTGGGCATGTGCACACCAGGGCGCCTGACCTGACCCGACAACGGCAAGTGAAGCAGATGGGGTTCCAGAGGCGGGGGTGTCCACAAAATCAAATATCGGTACCCCAGCTAATGGATCAACCATATTTCCAGCACTGGTATACACGAGTTCGTCGCGCTCGTGGAACGCCCGCTGGCAAGGCACCGCACGATCTCGCACTTCCTTATCTAAAAAATGATTATGAAACAATAGAGGAATAACACAGTCAGTTCGCGTAATGTAAATTATAATTAGGAAATTACAAAATTACTCTGTAAGACAGTAAAACGATTCGTATATAACAGAGCTCATGTATGTAGCTGGTTATTTCCGCTGGTTTGATTATAGTGCACAATGTGTGTTTTTCTTTAACATTAGTTCTTCAACAATTTTAGGGTTGACTCTGAAACGTCCTGCATGTTTGGACTTTTATTTGTCTAGCTTTGAATCTATATATATATATATATATATATATATATATAGTCGTGAGAAAAACAAAGATATGACGTGACTCAGATACAGGAGTTGCCGAACAAACCTTGGCGGTGTTGTCTCAGAATGCTATCTGGGGAAGGAGCTCTGACTGTCATCCCAAACGCCATTTCAGGGTATGAATATTGAAGACATTGTTCTGGAGAACTCTTGTACCTGCATGGATCAACATAACAACTTACTTCCCTACATTTAACATCTGTTACTGAAATTCATGAACTAAAGATCGAAGCAATCTATTTTGGAGAGCTTTTCGTAAGTTACTTTATTTTTCTTAAATATTTAGGCTTCTATTAGATCTATTTAATAATTTGCTGGTTTACGCAGAAATGATTCTGCCGCTCGAATCCGTGCCGGATAATTAATTCTCAATGCACTAGGTTCAGTATAAAAGTTATTCAATTAGATCTCTCTTAAGCATACTTATCCTATCATAAATCCCATATTTGCAATAGAAAATTCCTTTCTCCACCCTATACTTTAGATCGACAAAGATGACCTCGATAATGGACCACGAACAGTACATATATTACCGGCACATTAAAAAGACACACACCATAATAATTAAGACTGTTTACCTACACTCAAAGGTAGACAAAAATTAGCTCTTTAAGAGTTAGCCATCATAGAACCCATTTATGATATCATTATTATATCTGTTCGCAGGTAACGAAGAAGTACCAGACAGTGTTGGGCAAGGACGTCGCTGAGCTCGGTGATGGTGATGGAGGAAGATGTTGGGTCAGCTGTGGGTGGATAGGCCCGCAGTCAGCAGACACAGGAATCGATTGTGAATTGTTATTCGATGTTTGTCCTGAGGAAACGTTGCCAACAGGCGATTGCGAGGACAACGTCGCCGAGTTGTGCGATAGGGTTGGTGGGTCCGCAGAAGAAGGCGGGGAAAGCGGTCGCATATGCTTGTGGGTACATCGATGTCTCCGTTCGTCCGACGGCGACAAGGGAGGTGAAACGTGCATTGGGCTTGGAGGTTCTGTAATTCCTAACGCACGAGAGGAACATGTTAATTTACTTATTCTATATGTGTTATATATTCAGGATATATTATGTATTAAATTAACTCAGATATACCTGATTGGTTTCTATGAAAGTACGAGCATACGTGAGTAAGCAGCTAGAGAGGGAAATTGGGGGGCAAAAAAGAGTGAGCAAAGTAACGAAGTACAAATCTGTTCGGGCGTCAGAAAATTTTGATTGCGTACTAGCTAGCGGAAGATGAGATGTGAACGACGATATAAATCAGATGTATAATTGTTATTGTGAAGCTAAGCTACTTGGAATCTTGACGACTACTCTGGTGTCAGCCGATGGTAGTACTTAGTTTCTTCTGATATTAAGCGTAAATACCTTTGGCACGGAGTTCTTTTTTATACTTCATGCGCCTATTCTGGAACCATATTTTAATCTGACGCTCGGAAAGCTTTAAAAAGGCGGCCAGCTCAATGCGTCGCGGTCGACAAAGATACCGGCTAAAACGAAATTCCTGTGCAAAGTTATAACATTGAAACGAGGTTATACTTGCTGATCTTAAATGCAAATATTAAAAATTAATTAAATTCTATATAAGGCCCAAAAAGGCAGATATTATCTGGAAATATAACATGTATTTGTTTCAAACATACACACGGAACTCACTATCATGCGGATCTTTCCAGCACTCTAAATCTGTTTATAAATATCTAAAGTCATATTTTGATCTTTTTTTTACTAGCAAATCGTTGGTCGGTGCTCCCAACTTTAAAAGTCTGCTCTCAAAAAACAAACATCTTCTATTTTACTTACCCTTTAATTCTATGTTGTTTAGCTTCATGCTGCTACCTACTTATGAGGTGCGTTTAATTAATTTCCAAGGATTTTCTATACATTCAAGGTGTAAAAATATAAACTGGTATATATTTAATGAAAACATATTTAGAATTTGAAGGACCTTTTCGAGTTCGACGAGTTGTGAGGACGTGTAGGCAGTACGAGGCCGTTTTCCCTTAGCCAAATCTTCCAACTGCTCAGCTGTGGACGAAAGGCAGCCCAGAATTGATTATTTTAGCGTCTGCCTGCGGCTTGGGGCACATTTGGCATAAAAAAATGCTTCATCCATTTTCAATCAGATCCACGCTGTACGTGACAGGGTCAGGTAAGGCAGGATAAGTACGCTTATGTTGGATTTTTACGTACGTATGAACTATAATTTATTAGGACGAAAAGATCAATCTTTGCTTTTATTATTATCACTGGTAAAACTTCTCCTTGTGAAAGGTCTAACTGCATAACAACAGATGTTGTTATGGCAGGTATTTGAAGGCTGGAAATCCTCAGAGTAACCTAGCGTGAGGACGCGACTCATGCCCACTCATGCTTTTCGAAACTTGCTCGTTTCTAAAATTTGCTTCGGACTTTTACGAGCAAAATTTTTATCTATTGGAAATTATTCTTAGATTCCTTCATCAGGTAGCGGCAGGTGACTTTTAGTATCTAGTCAAAAAACCAATGTAGGATTATTTAGACGAAACCACATGCATTCCGATAGGCGGTTCTAAAATAAAAGGTTCGGCATACTATTGTTATGACATTACTCAGGCTTAGGTTCTGTTCTTTGAGTAATGATTGAGGAGCTGCTCGTATGGCACAGGAGGTATCGTATTCTTTGCCATGCTCTCTTTTTACCAAGCGACTCAACAGAAATATAAGAACTGTGCCTGTCTTGTTTAAATACAGACTGGTCCAACAAATCAAAGAAAAATACCAAGGGAAAAAAATCCTGAACCTAACTTACGCTGCGAGCGCCTTTGGGAGAACAAGACGCTACGATAGACCAGCGAGCACATGTGCTTTACAAAACAGCAGAAAGTTGTGAACCTATGTTAAAGTAAAAAATAGGGGCATGAGTACGAAAGATGCAAAGAAACACGCCTCCAAAAAAAATTCAGCTCTGTCTAGGTTCTTTCAGCTGATTGTATTTATAGCATTATTATTTTATGATAAATTAGAAACATTCTTCGATTGTTTATAGTTCCTCATAAGCATGTTTGTAACATCTGACTAATACAGCATAAACTAACTTCTTGCAATTTAATAGCCCAATATAGTGCTGATACTCAGCGCATATTTATTAAAAGCCACATTTCTAAGAAGTATCTCTTGGTTTCACAGAGCTTCAATGATGTCGAAACGGACTGAATCCATGTAACCTAGCAACAGATTCAGAGAAAATTCAGAACTCAGAAATATTGTTTGGTAACATCGTCTGGCAAGCCTAAAGCACATTGTTGACAAGACATGTGTAGAAGATAGTTGCTACATTTGCCTGACACTCTGGTCTGATGGCGAATAGAATCTTTGAAGGGCAAAGTTTCTTTAGGGAAAGAAAGACTTATTCCTGTATGTAATATAGATGTAATAGCGGCATAACTGTGGCAATAAAAGTGCCGTATTACGCTGTAAGTTAGCTAAATGCCTTACGTCTCAAACAATGTTACCAAATTGGTAGAATGATAAGGCTGTTACTTGACGCCATAGATAGTCTGGTGATGGCCGCAAAAATATGTATGAATTGATTTACTCTAACCAATGTTACCTGTGTCTATTCTTAAATTAAATACCAGGTACACGGTATCTGGCATGTGCCATGCCCAATTGCGTTTGCTGGTGGTCTGTCAGACGGTACTAGAGGTAAAGGATGCAAACAATCGCGGGCGGAAAAATAATAATACTGATTTACAATTACGTAAAGTACGCACGTATTTTTAATGTTAGAATACTACGTAACAAGGGTCTAGCAAAGGGTTGCACTAAATAACTTATTATTATTAGATATATGTATCTCTTAATTACGCTTCGTAAAAATATGATTCGGTCGTGGATTTCACCAGTAGTGTAGTAGTATAACGCGTACGTTTAGGTAATTATACAACTTGAGCTGATGTTGGAAATCGTGAACGGTTTCGTCCGACTGCTCATGACTTGGTTAGGATATACAATCGTCACTAGTACAAAGAGTACGTGCTAGTTGCGAGCGAACTATAATTTTTTTTTGCTATTCAACATTTTAGGTTTTCCTCTAAGTAGATATTCTTGTTTATCTATTTCACAGCCTGAAAAGTTAAAAAAACTATAAATATTTTACTGGGCAAAATAGTGCCTAACATATTGATATAGCTGTTCATTCATTGTGCCAGTGACCTATAACTTACTGACTTATAGAAGGACGTTCATAAACGTCATTTGTAGTAACTTCTCATAGCATTTCTCGACCTCGCACGTGCCAAACATCACCATATGTTATATGTACCAGCATAATCGAGCGTAGACATGGGTGATAAGTCAAACTTTTTAGTTGTTAAGCTGTTCATGGTCAAAGTTTTCGATTGGCTATACGGAAATACATGGTTCCGCTAGTATTTCGTCATCGTGTGATGTCTTCATATCGGACGAACCCCTCTCATAAATCAGACCCTTCTTTGATTATCCGAAATTGACGGTTTATTTTCTTACGATCTAGTATTCGGTCGTGTAAGGAACACGAGCAGATTCCTATCAACCGAGACGAAAAGATATGGCGGGAAACCCTGAACTAATTTAAAAGGTGCAAAAGTATACCTTTGGTGACGCTGGTGCTTCGACGAGCTTCTTGGCAGCCAATTCTACATAGTTAGCAAGTGATGGAATCGCTCAAAGAAGACCTCAGATATACGTTATAGGCAAAATTTCTTTGGAACTGACGAAGTCGGAAAATTTGTCCGGTATCCTCTGCTCCTGAGTCATGGCAAACACGGAGGAGCATGACTCGTCTTCGATTGACGACTGTTTCTACATTTTGACTATTGTGTTTAGTGCAGATTTATCATGCTGCTATAGTTCCTTCAAGGCCGTTGCCCAAGAAGTTTATATGGACGTTTTATGGTTAAACTATCGATAGCTACTGTGTCGAAAAAATTAGAATTTGATGGCTTTCTGAAGTGTGAAGCATATTTTTACCTATTAGATCGTTTTCTTGAATATGATTTTTAACGTTTTCATCAAGATTTCTGGTAGAATCGTTTCTGCAATAGTTAGTTATGTATTTTTTACATCTGAGGTATTTGTAGCTGATGCCAATTGTACTAGCTAAGAATAAAACTGAAGTTCCATTTATCGGCATGATCAGTGATACGTATAAAGGGGAAAATATTTAAAAAAGCCCGTTCGCATCCATATATATTATGGTGAAATGGCGCTATATTCTGAAAATCTTCATGCGTTTGAGTTATTTTTGTCTCTAGATTGCCACTTACAATTTTTTTTCCGTTTTGACGATGAAGATAAAGTTGGCCCATCAATGTTATGGCCAACCTGAGGAACCGACGACGCACTTGTTGTTGTCGGTTCCCATGTCTCGAACTTCACTTCCGGACCATCGTACATCGAAGGACAGGGCGGATAAGGTTCCATTACACTTCAATGCAGTGCTATCTTGCTCTCTATTCACGTTTACCTTGACATGCCTATGTCTCGAGACGCATGCATTTACACACCTAGATAATGATAACCCATAGACCCAGTTGCATACAGGCAGAGAAGTGCTCGATGCACTTCAAGATAACGCTAATCTTTGGTCCCAGCTCAACAGAGACGAATCGCTTAGGCAAATTTCATTCGGGCGTCAACAAAGGAAGGTGTAGGGGCAAATCGTTAAGCAAGCTAATCACCGAATGTTTGTCCGATTGGTGATACGTTCACTAATTTACCAAACGTCGTTCTTTGGTCATTTGACGCACCGAGACATACACACATACACACACACACATGCTCGCAGGCACACTCACACACACTCACACACACACATCCACAAATGTCAACAGCAGAGGCGTTTCAACAGCTTTGTTTGGTTCAAGGTATTACCGTTGGTATCGCGCTTCGCGCACTTAACGTGCTACACAATTTTACTTAATAACTTAAGCTGTTACATGAATGCCGAAGCTTGAAGCAATCCTGGTAATCGCCCACATCGGCTATAGAATCAAGTCTAGTCGGGAGTTGGGAGTCGCCAATGTCCAGGTCGGAAAATCGAATCCCGGGGACCTCATCTATCGCCATCATCTGCCTCTCCCTGATTCGACAGTTCTCTCACCAGGGGACGCCAGTGTTGTGAGAAACTGAAGCGCTGCCACTCATGTGTGGGTGGGCGGAGCTTTCGTCATTGAAGGCGGAGACTTGTTAGTTGAACCGTCCGACTTCAGGAACCGTACCGGTATCGTCAGCCGCCAATGGGTGAAGCGACATCACGAGAGTGATGCCATTGTGTGGTACAATAGGGAGGCCAGATGTCTGCCTACTGGATGTGTGGCCTGGTGCGATATCCTCGAGCAGATATTGACACCGATCTAGCCTGACGACGCGCACAAAACCGCTAATATCTTCCTAGCTATGTTGTCAGTTACCTTCACGTTACGGGCATACAATGATATACCTGCCTAGCTGAGTAAGTATCGAAGTGAAGTTGCTTCTTTAGCTCGAGCGGTAGATTTTAGTAATATCAGCAGAGTCAAAATACCCCGATATGCTCAAAACTTCAGCCAGAGTTGGCGCTGCTATTCAAGCCGAATCGTTCACGAGTCTTTTCGCATAGCGATCGTCGATCGTGATGGGAAATGTAATTAGTGTAATCGTCTAGCACCTGTTTTTTTCTGAGACGAAGGCAATTTACACTGATGTGTCAACATATACTATTAGAACTGAATGGGTGAACCACTTTTCGGCGCTAAGGTCATTTGGGTCAGACCCTGGTTCGGCTTCTTGTTGAAGGTACATTTACGGGGATTACGCTATTCATATACATCTAGAAGGCCAATGACTTGTTAAACGCGCCGGAAACACGAATCAACGTGATTCAAAGTTATTCTACTACCGACACGATACTGGCGAGCCCTAGTTGCGCCCTAGACTACTCTGGCGCACTCGCAATAACGTGGACTTCGCGGTCTCATGAGGGTATTTTTCAACATCTGTATTAATTCAAGTCCAAATTCGATGTTTTAGGCTTCTGACAGAATTATTCACACGAATGACACTTCGTTGCCCGTGAAGAGAGTGGATGCGTATGTTCGCGTGCCTATTGAGCTGGCTATGGCGAATTTGATTTCATTCCTATTACTTCTGATATCCGTTGTCTTCTAGGACTCCGCGAAGGTACAACCAATTAGTCAACGAGTCAGAAAGATCACCGAGAAAAGACAGATTGACCGGAAAGAAACAGTGTAGAGAAATTTTGACGTCATCTGATAGAGTGTGCTAGTAATACATTTGCGATAAGTTTATCTATCATAACTGCATATGGATAGTGACTCACAACGTATGGCTAAGCTAAACGCCTACCGTTCGTCAAATCTTCCAGCTTTTCCTTTTTTAAAAGAGAAAGTAAATTGAACTGAACTTGGTAAGCGAGCTAAAATGTTGTCCTTGATATTCTACACACGAAGACGAAAATATAGGCATAGTTATTGGCAAGATGCCCAGTTCTGGGTATATGGCTTTCAGAAACTTTGCTCCGTTGTTTTCAGTGTGCTATTTTTGACATACGATGATACCTACCGTGACACAGTCTCTCACACTTAACGAAACCATAATTGTCACGCTCCGATTCCAAATCGTCCGCTATGATGAAAAACCTCTATTATATTCTATAATCCTTGATAGAGATTCCTGTTGCGTGATCTCGGAGCTTACCGGAACTGCAGTCATCCTCCTTAAATTTGTAAGCAATTTGGAAGTTGATAAACTATAATATTCGGAGTAAACAGGACCAAACTGTAATGGGTTCGTGCATTTAGGACAACATCGTATCTAAAATAAGATTCGCCGTCTTCTTGTTAGGGTACCGTTCAGAAATGTTACTATTTAGTACAAGTCAGGGTCGTTTTAAATGCTTTCGAGAACTTATCTATTACTTCGTATGATATTATGCTCCTTGATCCATCTTCTCTACCTTAATTAGCAACTGAGTCGACAACGATTTCGGTAGACCACTAGCCGTTAACCTTATTTATACGAAGGGTGTTCGTACCTAATTATTTATAATACTTTGATATTCCGGATAAACCTGCAGGCGATACAAGACTGGCGCACGCGATCTCTCTATCTGAATTTTGTGACCTACCAGGACTCGAGCAGGCGATGTGTCTCAATGAGTTGAAGTTCTCGAAGGATTCAAACGGAACTTGTCATCGCGCAGTCGACCTGCGTCGCCTTTCGTCTTGTGCTTAGGCTCTATTCCGTTCGTTGATTTGCTCAGATCGATAAATCGTGACTTTCAAGCCCCTCGCCGTCGGCGCCATTATTTCCCCGCCGTGATCTTTTTTCCCGTAAGAATAGGTTATGCACCATTTACAAATGAATAGGCAAGCTCTCTCCTTTCGTGAAAAATTAAAGAAGTTAGACATCACTCAGCAAACGGATGGGTTGAGACAGCGAGATTGGCATTATAATATTGGCAAAAAAGTATAATTCGTAAGCAGTAACGCATTTATCCTCAGTTTACGCAGTTCTATGAAATGGACATGAACAATATGTTACGTTGATTCGAAAAATATAGAACCGCAAAGCACAAGGACCTGCAGAATAAAGCGTGCACACCGTAACTGAGTACATAGTACCTAAGCATTTCCTTTGCTATGTGCGGTTAAATAGGCCAATAATCATGTTCTTTGAAGCGCTTCTTTTTACGCTTTGCACAATGACTTATCACTGTGATTTGCTCGTGCATGTTATGCACACGTTGGATTTTCTTGTGAAGGAATCGTCTTTAATAAAATACAGAATTATACGGCCTTAAGGAGTTCGATTATTTGTTAGCTCGTCAAATCGCCCACTACGAATGCTGGCCTGCTTCGCAAAAATGTCCTAGTAATTTTCTATACGGTTACAAAGATAGTTATACCAAAAGCCAACTGAAGTTAAACCTGGATCCATTTCAAGAAAAACAAACTAACTAATTAACTTCAAGAAGGTATCCAACAATAGCAGAATTCGATGTCTTCAATAGAAAAACATGAACAGCTTTGTTTAGCATGCGGCAACTTGAAAAATAACACCGATCGTACCTAATGTCTGTTCCCTTCTTCCCAGTTATTTCATACACGATATATATTGAATGGCAAAAAAGAGGACGAAAAGACATAACGAAAGTGTGCGTGGTGCTGTAAAGATCAGAATACGCGACACAGATAACTTCACGACAAAGACCCAGGAAACTATATAGATGTTGGGATGTTCCTCAGAGTGAAGGAGCGAGTGGGGATCGTTTGATGCGGTCTCTCATCAAAATCCGATCACATTCGAAATAGCTTGAATATCGCAGTAGCAGCAGCAGATGCCAATCGACGTTTCATTTCATACGAAGCGTTCACATGGAACTCAGCGTCATTGGCAGCCCCAGATCATCATCATCCGCAGCAGAAGAAGCATCAGAATCAACAAGGTAGTATCTTCGGGTGGCCGCTGATCTGTAGCGGCACTAGACGAAACACGTGATCGCCTCCGAACATCGAGCAACACCATGAGGTAGTGGTTTCTGGCTCGAAAACGATCGCGCACCAGCAGATGAAAGCTGAAACGCGTGATTGGACAGTTCGGCCGGATAGGCTCTGCCTTCACCAACTCCGCTATTATAGCTTGCCTATGCGACTGGCGTCCTGCCGTAGATTTCCGTTTTAACGTTCCCTTTTTATTTGGGATTAAGCTTTGGACTTTTGAGCGTTTCGGGTAGCTGCGGGGCTTGCGTCCGCAACGTTTCAGCACGAAGGTCACTGCCGATTGCCGCCTGATCACTATGTGACGTTGGAAGGTTAGGCAAATGCGAAAAGCTCGAAGCTGCCGGCTGATGATGGTAAGTCCATCTCAATTTGAAAATGATTACGCAAAGACGTAAGTAACGGCAGCAATCAAAACTATATGGAGACTGCTTCGTTGTGCCTGGATGAGCGTCTACATAACGAGTGATCAAATCGTCGACTGATAGCGACAACTGCCTCAGGATCTGCAACGACGGTGACTTTTGCGTGGGTTTGAATGCTGAATCCTGCCGGCTGTTGAACTTACTGATAATGTTATTGCAGTGGCAAAATGGCCACGGGTTATTACGGCGCTGATTGGCATACAGATCATATAGTTACAGGTGCACGAAAAATGAGCTAGAGGATTGTTGTTGCTTTGATATTATTGTAACAGCTCCCGACAACGTTGAGGCTAGAAAGCTGAATGAATGTACGCCCAAACATTAAACGCCGAATTATTGTAGTGTACTTGAATCGCTGATTTACTTTATCATTATCTTTCTTTAATCAGTTGTGCGCGTTCCTCAAGCCTCTCGATAAAAACAAAAACCTATCAGACTTATGCCGCGTTGATATTTATGACTGAAACGAAGGGTAATAGGCGGAAATGCATAGTCACCATTTTT